TCATGGGAAAATGTACAAACAGTGCATGACAACTGCCTGCTTAAGTTGAGGACTTCATGCTTAAGAACTGCCTGTTCCTGATCGTCAACTCTGACAAATTAAAGTGAAAGTTAAAACTAGCTTGCAGGACTTGTGTTGTAATAAGGTTGTGATGTAAAGAACCCTGGAAGTCTGAATGCATGTTTTTTAGGTTGTTATTGGCACACTTCAGTTCCAAGCCAAAATAGCTCAGTCAGGGCATTCACTGCTTATTTTGCTCTCAATATGTCTTGTAGCATATTAAAAAGCCCATATGCAACAGAGGTAACAAAAATCGATTTTCACAGTTTCACATTTTGAAAAAGCTACGTTTATAACATGCATCAAACCCTGTCAACACCCTACAAAGATAGGACTGAAACATCACATGTTTGAAACACATATACAGGAAAATATAAATTTATACAGGAAAAAAAACCCAGTGGTACCAAAAACGACAAAGTTTTAGAGCTCCCAATATAATCACACATAATCCAGGTATTGCAACTGACATACTGTATCTTGCGTTCTTAGACACATGCACAGGTGTAAAAAAAGTGATCTGATTGAGATTAGAAATGCTATCTTCTGATTGGATAAAAGATAACGTCTGCATTCTTGCATTGCAACACTTGATTACGGTAAATCTTTAGTTTATATTGGCACATCCTCCCAGTAACACAAACAGAGAGGCACTGTCACAATAGCTGCATTGTGACTTTGACTGTTGAATTACAGAATGGGCATTCACAGAGAGATGGAAAGTACAGCATGTTGGCTTCCTATCATTGCTGATACAAGGAAGTATTCAAACTGGGAGGAAAGATTTCTGCACGCTTACATGTATGCAGTATTTTACTTTATTCTGAGCTTTCAGTCTATCAGACCTTCATCAGAGTATACATCTTTACTTATATAGGATATAAGTTCTGATGAAGGTCTGATAGACCAAAAGCAAGGCAAGAAAAATATATTTGTACAGCACATTCATACACCACGGCAATTCAGTGTGCTTAACAGGATAATAGTAATACAACAAAGGTGAAAGATGTGCTTGCAAGCGATACAAGAGGAACAACATTTTAGAAGTAAGCCTGTGCAATTTAAGTCAAGTTTAATTAAAATAAGATAATTGCATAAATAAAAAAGCACATTAAGTTCTCCCATATTTAGATGTACAGGTAAATTAAATGGAAAACAATTAATAGGCAGATTATGCAGTTTAAAATAGGATTTCTTGTTTTTTTTTTTTAGCTTTGACTTGAAAGTGGTCTGTGTTGCATGATAACAAAAAGCTCCTTTACCATGTTTTGCTTTAAATCTTGGAGCGACCAGTGGGCCAGTCCTAGGTGTACCTTAGGGTTCTTGGAGGTTCATTTGGCACAAGCATATCAGATAGTATGTATTTAGGCCCAGAGCTAGAATATATTTTCAGTTTTTGTCATGACCCTGGCAGCAGCATTCTGAATAAGTTGTAGTTGTCGAAGAACTTCCCTAAACCTAACCTCTGAAACTACTACAATTATATAACTTTACATTAAAGACGTAACATCATTAATGGGCTGCTAAGTCGAAAGACAACATACCAACTTTTGTGTGTGCATTTTCATAGGATATCATACGAAGCATGGTATGAGGATATGTTGTCCATAGTGTCGAAAGTGGCACTAAGATACAATCTCTAAGACCTTTGTGACCTTTAAGTACCTTTATGAGGGCAGTCTTGGTGCCATGATGGGGCCTAAATCCTGATTTTAACTTATCAAAGCAATGTTAAACAGTTACAGGTTGATGGTGACCAACATTTTTAATAACCTCAGCTAAAAATGGTGGCTTTTTACATATATCGATAGTTATTTAATGCATTAGCATAAAGACTGTTTTTAAAGAGACTTTATTACTGCAGTGTTCAAAGCTTTTGGAAAAATGCTGGATTGGAGAGGGTTGTTAACTATAACTAATAGTTTCAGGCAATAATGCTCGGAGTAAAGTGAAGCACTGCATAGATGTAAGTGTGCGGGAATCTTTTCTACCACTTTAGACTCATCTATGTTTCCAGCACCTTGCAAAGATTAAGTCAGGTGGAGGGGTAGATGTTGCAATATCTACAAGGAAGTCTTCAACCATTTCTGTGAAGGCTGACAGTCACGTCACTGTTTTTGAAAAGATCAGATTTGGATGTTGGACAATAGGGGCTGTAATCAGAGAGAAAATGCTGTGTTTTCTCATGTAGTCTTAACAATGAGGACATGCCACCAGTTGCAGTCGAGCATGGGCAGTGTGTCTGTGTGTTGGCAGGACAAGCCACCTTAATACCTCTGAAGAGATCAGTAGTGCCTACTGACTGACAGTTGTGTAACAGTCTCAGGTGGCTATGCTGTTCCAGCTATTTCTCTCAGGCTCGCACAACAACAGCGCCATAAAACTCTGAAGCTGACTTCCCCCCTGAGGACAGAGGTCACGTCAGGGATATCAGGAGCTATTTATTGTTGTGTAGAGGCATCAGCATCTTTGTATGAATCTATAGTATGGTCAGCACAATGTACAGAAGGCACCCCTGCAGGGATTGACTTTTCATTGTTATATTTTATAATTATATTAATAATGTTATGGTAATAATAGAATAATATTTTGGTTAAGTTCAGTTTTATCTTCATTCAGCTTTTTGGTTAAATGAAAGTGTTGTGCAAGTTCACACTCTAAAGTTCAGATCATAGAGATTAAAATTTTGTTTGTGAACACATTGAAGGGTTTTTTTTTTAGTGTTTCCCTCAATGAACTTACACACTAACAGACATACAGCAGAACAAGAACAACAACAACAAAGCTTGAAAAAGTCAATTCACATCAGTTTTATTCATGAGTATCCCTGTTTCACAAATCAAAAAATTGCCTCAAGGTGCTTTGCAATCTGTACAGCACATGGCATCCTCTGTCATTTCAAGGCAAGGCAAGATCAAATGTATTAATGTAGGACATTTCATACCCAAAGGCAACCAAAGGGCTTTTCAGATTAGTCAAGTCACCATGTGATGATGCTCTCTCTCATACTTCTGTGTAAAAATATCCTTTAGTGAAGACAGCATGTTTCTGACTGGAAATCATTCATTGGAATCAAACATGGCAATACAGTGATTTCCATTTCACCAAAATTACACTTAAAACATTTTATTTAATTCCTTCCTTCCTTTTCTCTTTATGAGTCTGGACAGATGTGACTGTAAATTGAAACTTGACTGGTTGGTGGAGGCATACAACCACAAGGAAGTAATTCTAGTTTTGTAATTTAGATGACACCCTTCCTACTTTTATGAGTCAACGCTGCCAAAATGTTGAGTTGGCTAGTCACATACATGCAAGCCCATATTCCTGGTGGAATTACTTTGCGACATGAATGGGTGTCTTTGAATTACAAACTGTTGTGCAGTCTTTGGTGTCTGTTAAAGATTGGCTGTAGGGTTTCTGACCCCTAGCAGCAATGTGGAGCAGGGTTTTTTGAGTATAGGTCCATGCGTTATTAGTCTCAGATACCTATAATTTAATTTTGATGGGTTCTAATTACATGTTAACATATCCATTTTGAAATTTTGATGACTTGCAAATAAATGCTACAACTCAATATTCACTAGTCAAAATGTGAATTCTTTATTTCAACAATTAAATTCTCTGTAGTGGAAATATACACTGTTACCAACAATTGAATTGCTATTAGTGGCAATGTTCATTATAAATATCTTCAATTGTTCTTACATTACAGATAACAAAAATGGAAATCTAAATATCTAAAGTTCAATTCTTACTAGTCAAAATTACATTATGGATATGTTGGCTTGGAATTCTAACTAGTCAAAAAGCAACTGGTAATATGTACAATTTCTGTCACTGCTACAAATCAAATGTTAAAATGGCTTCCCATATTGTTACTAGTCATAAATGTAATTTCAGATATCCAAAGTGAAAACCTTTCCAGATATCCATAATGTTATTTTAGCAGATATCCACAATACATTTTTGGAAATCTGCAATTTATAGTCGTAATGCCAATTGTGGATATGGATAATAACATGTTTACTTGTTAAAATGTATTTTGGATGTTCAAAATTACATTATGAATATCTGGAATGGTTTTTCATTCTGGATATCTGAAATTAAATTTATGAATACTAACAACTGAACTGTAGATATCTCAAATGCAAATTAAATGCAAACCTTCCCATCTACCTGGTGGTACACCCACCTCATCAACTACCACTACAGCACTGGTTAAAACAGCTTACCAAAGGGCCTCTAAAATCCTTTAAATGCATTAATCTGTTACTCTAACTGGACTTCCTGCATGTATTTGTCTCACCAGTACGTTAAGTAATACTCCCCGACCAATGTGCATTGTTTTAACACATGGTTGTTTTAGATCTGAACATCCACTCGGCTTGTATCAATCTATGTGGCCTAGCCACAAAGAGAGCATGCTTTTGAGATTCTTAGCAAATTCACATCACCTTGCCACAAAGAAGACCATGTTAACCCAGTTGGCACTAGATGTCGATGTGATGTCAAATAGACTTTGGACTCTTACGTTGAACAGATGTTAAATGTTAGTTGGAATGAAAATTGGGTTCACGATACTTAAATGTTTAATGACGTTAGAGTTTTATGTTGTGTGGACATTATGATGTTCTGCAGATGTTGTTTTTTTTCTCCATGTTTGTAGCCAGTGAGGAAGCAACAAGTTATCCAGCTCACCTACAGTAATTACATTGTTGATCTGTTAAACAGCTGACTTATGGGTTGTAATGAAGGAAAAATGGTGCACATGCTTTATGTTTGACTTTAATATCTCTTGTAGTTGTATACAATATAAATGAGTCATATTTGGTTCTCTGTACAATAAAGAATACAACAGTTTTCAGCAGAAAACAAATTTAAACTTTACATGGATTTACAGTATAAACAATCTTAAAAAAAACATTGGCTCTAAAAAAGGGAAAAGGTATAAAAAAAATATCAGTGCAATACATATCAGATTTTCCTGGAACCAGTATTAGCAGGACACACTCCTACATCTCTGTGTTAATTTTGTTCCTAACCTATTAGGCAGATGGTAGGCATGGATAGGCTTGGACATAGACATGTCAACCGGCACCAAAACGGGGCTGTCCTCGCCTAGTTCAGTTGTTGTACTTGATATGGAAAACCTCTCATTCTTTTTTGGGTGTGTAGTGTTTCCAGAGATATCTATATCTGTCTCCAAATCGACATTTGGGCTGGAGAAGACTCGCCATCTCCTCAGAATCTTCTCCAGTGTATCTGTGTTTGACCCCCAAAGTGCTTCGTGGCACTTGGGTAAGAAATGGCAGAAGATGATGCCATAGCTAGACACTAGAATGGCTGAAGCCTGCACAGAAGTGCCTTGTTCACTGTTGGTGATATAGACTGGGACAAAACATACCCATACAAACAAGTACATCAGCATGCTAAAAATGATGTAGCCTGTTTCGCTAAACTCCTGAGGAACCTTCCTGCCTTTGACGGCCAGCAGGAAGCCAACAAATGCTAGGAGAGCTATGTAGCTCAACATAATGCCAAAACCTATGTATGTGGCACCTTCACTACACTGCAGTAGTTTCATCATGCTTTGTGGGGATGGAGGTGTGTCATCAATATCAGGAGAATCAAAGATCAGCCAGAGAAGACAGATGATCCCCTGGAGAGAGGTTATGACGATGACAATTAGAGGTGGTCGGTAAAGTTTGTGTAGTCCTTGGTTCGTCAGCTGACCAAACGGAAGGAAAGCCAGAATGGTACGAAAGGCCTTGACTATGATACAGGAGACACACAGGGTGAACCCCATGGCATACATTACCTGGCGGGCCCGGCAGAGATGTACATTGGGCTTGCCCATGAAACATATCACACTTGCGAAGCTCACTGACAGACCAGCCATCATCACACAGGACAATCTCACCTCCGCTCTTTTCATGGGTGAGGACTTTCTGTACACCAAAAAGATAATGAAGATAACTATCAAGAGCAAGGTGCCAAAGCCTGCAGCAGCCATCATGGCGATGGGATGAGGATCGCTCCATCGCATGTAGGACTCCAATCTTGGCTTGCACTGAGTCCAACCCTTGAGAGACCAGGTTCCATTCGGACACTTTTTGCAGATATGGAGATCTGTTAGAGAAAATGGTGATGAACATATTAGCCAAAATAAGGCCATTGTGTGTATGAGTGTATGTATCTATCTGTCCACAGCTAATCTCGCAAACTACTGGACCAAGTAGCCTTATGTTTGTTTATGCATTTATGACTGTATGGTCAAAGCTCCATTGTGGTTACATTGATTCACAATTATGGCCGGTTAACTGTTTGTACCATCACTCCTGGCTCTTCTTAATGGTTGGTAGTTTTCTGGAAATCAGCTAAAAACAACAAGCCTTAGTGTTGCAAGCCACATTTTGGTCTTAGTCATGGTTCAAAAACTGCCATCCATAAAATGGTTTGGTCAATACACAGTGAGTGTGTCAATTGCTTTTGTTGTCTTCACCACTATCTTGACTGCAAGGTAACAATTCCACCAGCCATAGCTGTGCCACATTCCGGCCACCATCGCTGCAACCCAGTTTATTCCATCTGCCACATGGTGTCATACCACACCTGGTAACATTTAAGAAGTGGAGTGTTTTGCCTGCCCAATTTTGCAGACTTGCAGATTTTGTTGATTTGGTTATTTTTTTTCTTAATATTTGTGCCTCTACTCTAGTAGGTCGCTATGTAAATAAATTATGTCTTTTTTTTATGGTAAATGGACTTGCACTTGTATTGGGCCTTTCTAGTCGTGTGACCACTCAGAGCACTTTTACACTACATGACATTCACCCATTCACACATACACATTCATACACTGGTGGCTGAGGCTACCATAAGGTGCCACTTGCTACTCAGTGAACCAGTTCACATGCACTCACACGGGGCTCAGTGTCATGCCCAAGGATACTTCAACATGCAGAGTGGAAAAGCTGGGGATCTTCTGATAAGTGGATGACCCGCTCTACCTCCTCAGCCACGGTTATTATTTCCTACTTTGTTATGCTGTAGCCTACAGGCAGAGTTAAAAGTCCAGCTATAAACAATGAGCAGGAAAACTGGATCTGCTTTTGCAACCCACCATGGCTCTGTCAAAAATAGATGAGGGCCATATTTTTCTTTGCTATTTGGGTGCTTCTGAAAACATGCTGCACCATGTAAGATGGAATTATTACAAGAATTGTCTAGAGTGGCTGTGGTCAGCCCCGGCAGCCGTCTGGCAGACCTCAGCACTCTCTTTTTATTTGAAAACAGACCTCATATAAACAGCATTATTCAAATGTATGCCAAGCATACAGGCACAGCCAAAATTTCACCTCTCAGAGACCTGTTGTCTCAAGTCGGTTTATATTTTGATAGGATATTTGTACGTTTTCCTACATAAAATGATGCACTCACACTCATTCGTAGGATATCCTACAAACCATTCTATGAGGATACTTTGATTTTGAAGGTAAACTATAACATTAAAATCAATTGGTCAGTCAAGCATACCATAGGCATCTGAATAGGTCCCCATTCTATGAGGATACTTGAAGCTAAACTTTAACATTGAAGTCAGTTAGTCATTCAGGCATACCATAGTCATCTGAATAGGTCCCTTCTGCACACAGGGTGCAGTTGTAACAGCAGGATACATTCAAGATCGTCTTTACCCAGCCAGGGGCGCAGGGCGTTGAGCATCTACACTGAGGGATCTGAGAAAGCAAGACAGAACAAGAGTGATCAGTCTGAGGAGAGATGGCCTGTACATTTTTAAGTAATTCTTTCTTCACTAAAGATTGTCTTTCTAAAAAGCTGAAACACACTGAGGTTTATAGGGGAGACCAGGGACAGTTGCAGAATTTTCCCAGTAAATAAAAAAACATTAATCAATCAAATACTCAAATGAAAAAGATTGTGACTATTCATTCTTTTTTTTTTCTAAACAACAATAACCTTTTATCTTTAGGCCACATGATAAAAAACAGATTGAGGGCTGTAAAATTATAATGCAAGGATATCATTTATGGGTAGAACAAAAACAGTATACTCCAATAAGTTTCAGCATGACATTAGAATGGATGAGTTTGAGGACAGCCTGAAACTCATCCATTCTAGGCAGAATGTGTAATGCAGAATTCATCTTCATCAGATGAGTCCTGAATTTCCTGTCTCTACCTGTATTGGGTTTTTTTTTGTCCTTAAAATTTAAATTTTCTGAGCTTTAGACCTGCTTTTTCACTCACTATTAGCATGCAGTTGATTATCATTGACTTAGCATCTAGTGTATTGAGACCTTCAGAATTTTAAAATATAGCCTAAATGAAATTAGCTCAGGGATGGTTGTAGCAAGGCATTACAATGGCCTCAGTATCACCAGCTATGTTTTAGTTTGACATGTTAGCCATTTCTAATCTGAGCTCACAAAACAGTGATTCCAGGCATTTGATCTTTGGACAGTATCCAAAAAACACGTGATAGAAAAGTTAAATTTCTACCTCAAAAAAGCACTTTTCTATGAAACTTCCTCTAGGAGTTTAAAATGTGGTTCCTTTTTTGAAAGCAAGAAGACAATCAAACTGAGCATGTGCACAGTGAGTGCAGTTACTTTAACTTGTTTCTGATTTGAGGAATTCCGGGTGTCATAACCATCCCAATTAACGTCTGTCTCTGGCCTCACCATTGTAAAAAATATAAGAGTATCTGTTACTGGAAAATGAGCCCTTTCTTGTCAGAGGTTGCGCTATAGTGCTGCTACGAAGTCCCTTCTTTATGCTACCTTTGCAGTTTTACACAGAGCCAAACAACGGCAGCATCATGCTGCTCCAGTGTATAATTTTATACAGCAAGCTGGCATCACGGAAGGAAAAGAGGCAGGCCTGTGACAGTGACAGGCATGACATAGAACATATGCGTTGGCAGCTGTTCTTATTTGAGTTAGCTGCTAACTGCCAACAGCTACTTTTAAAATCTCCCATGAGGGTTGCAGGCATAACACATTGTAAAAACATCACACCTGTGCCGCCCATGATCCGTCCTGCCAGCTGCCCTGTTCATACAGACATCTGTTACTGCCCCCAGTGCTGCCCTAAAGGCGAGACAACTCTGTCCCCCTATTCCGTGATTTTACCTTTCATACAGAACAGAAAGGCGGCATAATGGTGTAAAATTCCTGCCGCGAAAAGCCAGTATAAAGGGGCTATAGAGACTATATTGTTTGCATTCAACAGCTACAGCTTCCCTGTGTCTTAAGGCCCTGACACAACAAGCCAACGGTCGGCCGTCGACCAAAGTCGAGCTGTCGGTGAGCGTCTGTCGGCCTAGTTTTTGCACCGTCAGCACTTCGGGGTCGGCGTCGGCGGCTTTTCAGCCGATTGAGCATGTTGAATCGGCGGCGGAGCTCGTCAATGAGAGAGATCACTCTGATTGGCTGTTCAGGTTTTATTTCCTCGCTCCTGTAGCGAGTGAATCTTCCTGTTGTGAAACCGAGGCTTCCTCCTCAGGCTCCACTTCACTCAGCTGCCCACAGACCCGCTGCTTTTTCCCACTTTAACCTGAATAACAAACCGGAGCTAGCTGGGAGCGGCTAGCGGAGCATTAGCCGCAGCATGACTGGAGGGAAGCACAGCCAGTTAGACTCTGCTAGCCTCCCAGCTAGCCCCGGCTTTCCGTTTGGATTCAAACAGAGGGCTGGGGCTAGCTGGGAGCGGCTAGAGGAGTGTTAGCCGCAGCATGACCAGAGGGAATCACAACCAGTTAGCCTCAGCTAGTCTCTGAGCTAGCCCCGGCTCTCTGTTTGGATCCAACCGGAGCCCTGAGCTCTGGTTTGTTATTCAGGTTAAAGTGGGAAGAAGCAGCGGGTCTGTCGGGCAGCTGAGTTAAGTGGAGCCTGCAGAGGAAACAATGGGACCGTCTGGGTGTAATAGTCCGTGGAGGTGCTGTGGTGCTCAGCTGCACAGTTAGGAAACCCCTCGGCTGACAGGATGTACCACTCTGTCACTCCACTCTCTCTCACGCAGGTGCAGAACCTACGTGCTAATTGGCCGTCGGATGTAGTCCATGTAGTGTGTTCAAATGCAACTGACACAGGCGACATAGATGACGCAACAGTTGGCTTTCGTAGCTGCTAGTTCTAGCCACTGGCACTCTCTCAAATTCTCATGTGAGCCATCTTTACAGAGAAGAATACAGAATACAAAGAATTATTGTTTTATCATATGACAATGTTTTTTGTCCGGCGAAAGATATCTGCAAGCTAGATTCCTATATTGCTAAGGATGTTCATAGTCCCCAGATGATTTCCTAAAGGCTCAGTACACATTCAACACTACACATAAAATCTTTTTCCTCAGCGATGGCATCTTTTTCAATTGCTCTCAATGAGAAGAGACTAGAGAGCACAAAAGCACCATGCACAGGATCTTTCTTCAGAACGCTCCGGCATTTTTGCGCGGCTGCTCTAAGTGCTTCTAGTTGAAAATCTCTGGACTTTTCAGAAAGGCCCTGGTGATGTCACTGCCACTCCTTTACCTAGGCCACGGTCACAACAAAGACAGAAAAGCCCAGTTGTGGGAGCAGATCAGCCGGTGGACACTGAATGTTGATCAATGTGTTGTACTTTTATCACTGTACTGTAAGCTTCTCGGCAAATGTAGTCAACCCTCTGTTAATTTACTGTTACGTTAGCTATCTAGCTAACACTGATGTCATTATATTGTTGTCATAGAAACATAACCTACATGCAGCCATCACTGAAAAAAATAAAACAAACAGACAAACAAACAAACAAAAAAAAAAACACTGAGAAATGCTGGGATGAAGCCCTGCCACCTTTCTTCTGCTCAAGAAAAATCCTGTGTAGACACAGGCCCTAATATATTGTCCCATCACATATAAAGGAAAAACTGTATATACCTGTTCTAAATGGCCATACAAGGGAAGGTAGTAAAAAAAAACAAAACATGCCATTTTAGCCTCCTCCAGGCTACATCCTGCTGCCTCTCTGATCCCCCTTAGATAACTCTGTGTCTTTTGCATGTCTGTGTAGTTCCAGTGCTATTTATTGTACAAATGGCGATAATGGTACGAACTTAAAGTGATAGTTCAGGTTTTTGGACATGAAGTTGTGTGAAACGCTGACCATCTGTAGCTCTGATGTGACAGTGTCACTACTCTCAACGAGCCTCCTGCTCTGAGAAATGGCCCGTAGCTTACCGGAGAAAAAGTAGTTCTGAAGATGTACGGGGGACACGTAACCAAAAGGTTTTAAGCTACAAAAAAGTATGCATGTGTTTTGTTAGACTATTTCAATCATTTTAAAACATCCCCGCATTACGTCAGACCTTGCTATCAATTGGGACTATTTTCTGGCCAGTATCACTCCGCCGTGCAGGCCCGCAAGACAGCACGGCAACAGAAATCAATAAGACAGTTCATCACCACGCCGTGCAGGTGCGCAGGATAGCAACGGCTAACGAAAACTACATAGGCTGTTTCCAACAGAGAACCAGTAGGCTATTATTAGTGAGGAAAAAGATGTACTAGCCCTATATATACCTACTACTACAGCGCGAACACCGGCTCAGGCTCACGACACACCCTCGTCAGCTGCTGTAGGTAAACAGAGGAAGCAAGCGTGCTGTCTTGCGGCCCTGCACGGCGGAGTGATACTGGCCAGAAAATAGTCCCAATTGATAGCAAGGTCTGACGTAATGCGGGAATGTTTTAAAATTAGTGAAATAGTCTAACAAAACACATGCATACTTTTTTGTAGCTTAAAACCTTTCGGTTACGTGTCCCCCGTATATCTTCAGAGCTACTTTTTCTCCAGTAAGCTACGGGCCATTTCTCAGAGCAGGAGGCTCGTTGAGAGTAGTGACACCGTCACATCAGAGCTACAGATGGTCAGCATTTCACACAACTTCATGTCCAAAAACCTGAACTATCACTTTAAGCACAGTCTCCTCTCAAAGGCCTCAAGGTGTTGCACTCTGTAACACTGGTATGACTGAGGGATTGTCTGTTTTGGAGAGCTATGATTATTCCACCATCACAGAGGGGTTCTCAGAGTGTTTTATGATCTAACAAGCAGTTTAAAGTATGAGGGCCGTAATGAGCTGATTACCACTTGCCCTTTTCTCTTGCCTCAGGTACTGCCTTGCCTAAGGACAGTGACTACACTGACTACTGCAGCAGTCAAACCTATGAATGGATGCTGTAAGTATGGTGATGTCTTACCGTGGTATTGCCTGTTGAAAGCCAGGTGAAATTTTTAATATCGAGTTTAATTTCTTTATTAAGGACACTGTATTTCCCAATCCTGAGAAAGCTTCTGTGGTCTCCATCTTTTTTCCATGTGATCAAATCATAAAAATTTACAAAATCACCATATTCATCAAAGTAGAAATTGTGGTTGTCATACTCAAAGTTAACATTCTTCAGCTCTTGAAGAAGCTGCAAAGCAAAGGGGAGAATGGCAATTAAAATGGTCCTTTTGCAGTGGTTGGTAACCGTAGTATACAATTTCCCACTATCTAACTATAATTCACAAGAATTCTAAGGGACAGAAACACACACAACATTGTAATTCCTACATTATAAGGAAGCTACACTTACAAATTTAAATCTGTTTTCTTCTGTGCATGATATCAGTACTCACCTTCCATGGTTGGAAGTCAATTTCTCCCGAGCATGAAGAACTGTTGCACTTTAGTAGCTTTTTGAGAGCATGTGCTACAGCCTGCACAGCTACTTTGTGAAGGAAGGCATCACTGGTATCCAGAGCCTTTACAAGATAGTCATCAGTTTGCTCTTGGGGATCCGTGAAATTACATGCATTGCCAGATTTTATTTCCAGGAGATCAGGTGGGGGACAATAGGATGGAGGCTTGTTTGAAGAACATTCTGGGGTGCAGTTGAATCTCAGGTTCTTGTATTCTTCAATGAAGCGGTTATACCCTCCTGGGGTTGCTGTGAGATTCTTGAGATAATTATCAAATGATTCACTCTTGTGTGAAACAAAAGTAAAGCCCAAGATGTCCCCAACCTTGTTGATGCCAACCATTTGGGCAAGGGTCATGCTCCTGGACCAGGCATCACTGGCAATCCAGATCCTTGATGTGTTGGTACTGATCATTTCCTTAAAGAGGGCCTTCACCAGCTCTTCCCTAATGATCAGCAGTACCACGTGGGCAGTGGAGGAGCGGATCTGCTGGGCAACTTGCTTGATACGTTGATTGCTTTCTGAATGATCGAGGTAATGAGGCAGCACCTCTTGGAAGGCCAAACATACACTATTTTCCTCAGCAGCCCCAAGGAAGCTCTGGAAAGCTGCTCTGCCATATTCGTCGTCACCATACACAACCCCAACCCAGTTCCAGCGATAGTAATGCATAATTTTGGCCAGTGCTTTGGTCTGATGCTTATCACTAGGAACAGTGCGCATAAAAACTGGGTAGCGTGTCTTATCACTCAGCTCTGGTGAGGATGATGTGCTGCTCAGCTGAAAAGAAGATATAATTTATACAGAAATTATTTTAAATACACACAAAATAAAAAAATAAATATAAACTGTAAGCATGGTTTACATTTGTCAATCACATTCCTAGAATTTGTAATGGCACCCAAAAATCCCCCCAAATCCCCAAATTTCCAACCAACACATTTTGTTTTATATTTAAATGACAAAATTAAGGAGTACATCTTTATATCTTAGTGGTATTAGTAATATTACTATATCTAACATAGTACTAAAATAGTACAAATGTTACCAATAGCCCACTACAAACTTCTGAATCAAATTTAAAAATACAATCACAAGCAGTGATTCTGGCATTCAGGCCACCATGAATGATCAAAAGTTTTGACGGTTTTTGACATCTGCATTAAAGATAACATGTATTATGACAACTGGACAGACGCTCATTCATTTACAACCAATCCTGCTCTGGGGTGTGCTTTCTTTCAGCAACGCCATTACCCCCTATCAGCCAATTTCAAAAACTTTCCAAAAAAAATCCATAGAGAAGAACAGGTGTGAATTTGGACACACTATGTGTCATTCGGGCCCATAGGGTTAAAAATATAGTTTGGTAAGTTTTGGACAAACTGTTCAGATTTAAAGTAAAATTTGCATTTGGCCCATGCACGTTTGGAACTGATGGCTCCCCCCCATGAGTGATTTTAAATAGTTTTACACATGTGGTTTAACATTGTTATGTAACATATTGTGCAAGTTTCAAATGATTAGACAAACAATTTTTGATTTATAGTCTGATTTATACTAAGCCATGCCCATTTTTTTGCATTTATACTTTCAGGGTATGTTTCTGGTACAGATGTGGAGAAATCATGGCAGTTTCGAGATGATTGGCCCAACAGTTGCCATGTCCCTTTTAAAGTTTATTGGTAAATATCTAGAAAACTAAATATGATATCAATAGGCTTTATGCAACTTCTGATAAGCGTGGTCCAGTAATGATCCAGAGAAAAATTTGATAGGATTCAGACTCACAGTTTAGATGGAGATATCAAAGATGTTTTTACAAAAATTTTAAAATCCCATGTTGGCACCACCTAGTGAGCAATTTCAAAATAGTTTTACACACATGGTCTAACATTTTCATAAAAACATATTCTGGGAGTTTTGTAATGACTGGACAAATTATTTCTGATTTATTGTCTGACTTGTGTTATTCATTAGAGGCTGATTTTGGTACAGGTACTTTAGGTACTTAAAGGGGCCACGCCACTTTAAACGTCACTGGTCAATGTCTTCAAAACGCGATAAGATAAACTGGAGCTTTTGATAAACTTGAATCAATAATGATCTATTGGTAAAAATCTGACCCATGGTTTGGGAGGAGATGTCAAAAATGTGTTTTTCAAAAAAAATTTAAACTCAGGAAAATCTAGTCAGGTGGACCTCAGCCATTTGGGCTTGAACCCCTAAATTTGCTTGTTTTGGGCCTTACCAAGAGTTAGACAAGGAAATCATACCAATTTAATCTCTGACTTCAGATTGTTCCAGGATATGCTTGACTGTAACACAAACACAGGAAGCTGGCGCAAACAGCTAGCCTCTGACAAAATGCCGAAGATATCCCTTTCAGCTGTTCCAAATTTGTCTTATTTTAATGCTATAGCAAGCTAGGCAGCTATATTTTAAAAAAAAAACAAAAAACTTGTGTTATATAATTGGAAAAATCCTGCCAATTCGTTGTGGGAATAGGACTTCTCAGGTGTTGGGCCTATCAGTACCTGATCTGTCACGGCTGGCTGTTCGATACTTTGCATGTGCAACCCTCAACTGTGATAGTTTTTCGATCAGCGTGACGAGGAAGTGGCTGACTTCTTTATGCTATGCATTTCAGAATCTTGGAGTAAATACACTGTGGCTGCGGTTTCTGATTTATTGTAATGAATATGAATTAAAAAAAACAACAATCTTTTGGTTCTTTTGCTCTGAGGAACCTTACAGACTAAAACAATATGAATAAGTTACATAGTAATTGAGGAATGGACATCAACAACCCGCTTTGATACATCACAAGAACAAGTCTTAATCAATAACATTTTGAATTAAACATCGTTTTTCTGGAGCTAATGATGGAAGTCGCCAGCACAGATCAGGCACTGATGGCGCTGTTGTACTATAAAAAAAATCTACACATGTAAATATGACAGCTTTGGAGTCTCTGGAAGGTGTCTTTGATGAAGCTGGGCTGACCATTTCCATTTGCTTTCATTATATGTGCTATTCAGTGATAAACATTATCTGTTCATTGCTTCTGTTATTAGTGGTAATAAGCCTCATAGATATGGTGAAGACGGCCCTGCTCCACCCACTGATAGGTTCAGAAGGCTGTTATCAGCCTATTCAATGTTTATTACCAGTTCATTAGATTCCACTTTCACTTTCCTTAGTGTTATTCACCAGAACCAATATGGTTAGGTTTAGAAAAAGATCATGACTCAAATCCTGGTGAAACAACTATGTGTGACCCACCCGCCACCACTCTCTTTCACCATATGTGAAAGTACTTTCCTGCAGAAAGCCTCTCTAGCAGAAAGTTTAATTTCCTGGCTTGATAATGGCCTTCTCAACTAAGCAGTAGGTATGGCAGGCCCCTACTAACCCATATGTATGACCCTTATCACCCCTAAAAACTGCCTTTTAATAGCCTCAAATTGATCACCCACCTCCCTATAAGAAGCCACAGATTTTTCCCTAATTTGTTGTAGTATATTGCAGCTTAAACATTAAAGTCTCCACAGCTAACACCAGTGCATTAATCACCCAGAAATTCTTATGATAGCTGAATGAGTGATCATGAATGACAGTGGCAGTAAAATGTATCAGCCTGTTCTCATTACCAGGTCGTCAAATGTAGACGCTTTGTCACACCCCTGTAAACCTTGGTGCCTTAACCTAACCATAACCATTTCACAACATTAACCACACATTACGACGTTTCACCCAGGACACAACTGTGCGTCACATACGGATGCGAAAGGGTCATTCTTAAGGAGATGCAAAGAGTGCCTTCGGCGTCAGTATCACACCGATGGACGTGAGAAAATGTCAGTATTTGACGACCTGTGATGAGAACATGTTGAATGTGCTTGCTAAAGAGACAGTATTTGCGACTTACTAGAGGGACCATGTACACATTAAGCAGTCTGGCCACAGCAATGGTCACCTCAGAGTATACAGCTCCCAAAATAATCTTGACTCTGGGCCTGTAGTCGGTGTAGTCGCACTCCACATCTAGAGAGCTGTTGACTGCGAGCATGGGTCCCACATTCTGTAATGCCTTGCTTGCAGAGGAGCATGTGTCACACAGCAAATATCCCAGACGCACTCCTGGGAGGAAGCCAGCTGCATTTATCTTCTCAATTTCATGGATTGCAGCCAAGGATCTCATAAATGACTGCAGATCAAAGCTGAAAATGGACAACGTAGAAAAACATTAATTTCTCTGTGCTAGAGGCAAAAGAAGCAAGCTGTATACACATGTACATCTTTTAAGACATTTTGATTAGAGGTGTTTTAGCTTATAGAGGAAGTCTTCAAAAGACCATGATGGGGAAACCTCCAGCTGAACTTTCTGAAGATCAGAAATCTTTGTTTAGAGTCATCAAGATCAAAGCACTGGAAAAAGGTGGGAAAAGACCACATCCTCAGACCTCGAATAAGTGAAAAAGTAAAATTCCAGAAGTACAATTTACAGATACATGTACTCCAAGAGGAAAAAAGTGGAAAAGAGGTAGGCAATGTAGTCAATTGAAAATTAGAATGATACATCATAGAAAAAAATGGTTACAAATCATCTTTCCCTCTCATAAATTGTAAAATTGTTGCCAAATAAACTTTTTTTTTCCAGTGTAATAGCACTAAGACTGTGTCCTCTTTGGGGTTTTTTTCTCAGTCTCAAGACAATAGAGGTGAATAGAATTTAGTTGGTGCTCACAGTATTGTTTAATTACATTGAGACCTAAAAGGGTAACACTCTCTATGAAGACCACATCTATTTTATAAGGTCATTCATAGTGAATTATAATGCATTTATAATGCTCTACAACTACACTCATAAACACACATAATGCTCCCTGATGAACTATATCAACAGTCACAAAACAATATAGATGCGACTAACAATGAATTATAAGTGTCTGTCTTATGGATGCTCGTGACTAGTTGTAAACGAGAGGATGACTGATGGGGCTTATAATATCACCTGTATACACCTCAACCATCAACTGTAGTAAGGACTCATAGCATGTGATAATAGTTAATGCAGTATCACCAGTTAAAAAAATTGGGCATCTTGCGAAGTCACTATTTGCAAGATTGTTAGCTTGAAAAAGGAAAAAAAATAGAAATTGTTGCAGCTTTTTAAAATCCCCAAGGGATATACTTTACTATAGCTAGTTAGCAAGCTAACAACTTTCCCCATTTCAAATAAGGCTGCTAAGTAAGCTAACGTTAGCTACTGTAATGTTTGCAATAGCCCACAAACTAACTGTACATTTCAGCTGAGGATTTCTTCTTTCTAGCTAGCGGGTCCATGTCATTGGTCCGACAGCCCATTGGTCCGACATCCCATTAGTCCGACGTCCTGTTGTTCCGATATGTGATTATACTAGGCTATACTGTATTTGTGTACCATAGAGAATCAGCAAACGCAACAAAAGTAGGCTACTGGTCGAGATACAAGTGTCATAGAGAGAAGAGAGTGAAACACCATAACCTCCTGTTATTAACTCTGGGGTCCGGGTTGTGTGGGGAGCTCTCCGCGGTGCTGAAAGGCTCCCGGCGGGCGTATTTCTGCCTTGATGGTGCGCCGCGACCGGCTCTGGGTCAGCTGGGAAAGGCTTGAGGCGAAGCAGGCTTACGGCTTATGTGTTTGTCACTTTCTTTTTCATTTTAACCCACACCATGATCTTTTCCTGACCCTAGTGGTTTTTGTGCCTAAACCTAACCAGACCTTAACCACAGGGCATCATGATGATTTAGGAACGGACTTCGGAACAATGGGTTTAATATGGTCAGAACAATGGGATGTCGGACCAATGGACAGTTCCCCTTTTCCTGACCCTAACCAAGTGGTTTTTGTGCCTAAACCTAACCAGACCTTAACCACAGGGCATCATGATGATTTCGGAACAACGGGACTTCGGAACAATGGGTTTAATATGGTCGGAACAATGGGATGTCGGACCAATGGGCTGTTCCCCTAGCTAGCTAGCTTCTAGCTTAAGTAATATGGACTGGTTAATGCCACTGAAGCGACTGTGTCGTTTCTCTTAGAATGTGGAAAAGGAGGAGAAAGTGGAGTTGTGGAGTGAACAGGAGTGCCTCTTTGACATGTCCTCGCATTTGTGCTACAATAGAGAAGGGAAAGAAAAAGTTGATAGAATTTGTTGTAGCCCAAAAAATCCCCTGCAAGTATGCTGTATGCTATAGCTAGCTAGCTAACCACTGTATAGGCTAGTTGCAAGCTAACATTAGCTACTGGAATGTTAGCCTATGAGCTAACTGTATGTTTCAACTACAGATTACTAGCCTCAAAAATCACATCATGTAACCACTTAAATGAGTAAAGCTAGAAATCTTCAGCTGAAATGTACAGTTTGTTTGTAGGTTAATAGTAAACATTCAAGAAGCATTAACTTGCAAGTAGGTTAACCTTGTTTGGGATGGGGCTGGTGGTTAGCTAGCTCTGTGACACTCACTCGGGATTTTCGAGGGCTGCGACAATTTCTCTCCACGTTTTTTACCTCTTTGAAGCTAACAGTCTTGCAAATAGTGGGTCTGCAAGATGCCCAGTCTTTGCAAAATCTGCTCCTGTGACTAAAAGCTCTTTGACTCATGTCATATTGTCTTTAGATGTGAGAGGGTGTCACACTTTAGATTTTAAAAGTATTTTCAAAGTATTCTAGTGTAGGCATTAATCACTTCAGTGTGTGTGTGTGTGTGTGTGTGTGTGTACACACACATAGATATTCTGAATAATCTGGTTAAGTACTTTCTACCAAAGGAATGGTGAGGTATCTGTGAACATCACAAACTCCGTTCACCTCCGTGGTTGAATTGTGGCGGTTGGGGTGGAGACAGATATTTCAAATTCTCTGACTGCATAGATACCACTGGAGGGAAGAGTCAACGTGTGTTTTTCATTTAACCCAACAGTTACCTTTCTGGAAATGTTACACTTTTCTTTGTTTAGGTTAAAATGTTATAAATAAGCTGATGGCACACTAAAATGTAAGTGAATTCCACCAGAGATAAATACTACTAATATTGCATTCGGACCAAATGCTATGATTGGCCGAGCATCCTGTCTGTCTTCCCCACGTGGTGGCCTCCGACTGACGTAACCACTTGCATAAAGCAAAACATATTTCCTCTGCTAGCTGGATGAGTTTGCAAATCCTGTGAAATCTGGAACATGGGCTGAGGTGAAAGGAACTGTTGTTAGTTTTACTCATTAAAGTGGTATTTATTAATAATTCAGTGAGCCTACTTTGTAAAGAGGGCCTCTGATAAAGGCACGTTAGGATATGTGTTATTTATGACGTATAGTTTTAATTTATTGAGGAATGACTTCTTTTCGTAAATTGATTGATCAATCAATCAAGTTAAAATTAATAGTAAAAAACTGAGAAGAAATGTACCCAAGTGCTCTCAAATACAAAAACAGAACAAATTAAGTCAAAAAGAGATCATAGCAATGACAGAAACATGTACACTGAACCAAGAGGTTATGACACCTACCCCTCTCAAAATACATAGGCTACATGATAAGACTTGTGAAAATATACATCATCAAGTTATGCATGTAGCTACACAAATTTGCCCCTTGTGTTTCTTTTTTTGTAATTCATGTAGCATAAAGTATATCACTCATATTTTGTTATGTTATTTTGTTATGTTTTTAAAAATGTATGAGCCACAGTTCACATTGTTGATTTTCTTTATCAAGTGTTAATGAATATGGCTGTATGAAATGGGGGTTTCCAAAAATGATTTCATTCCAAATATCAGCCATTTCTTAAAATTACTGAAAATATTTTTTCTCACAATTACTAATAACAGTACAACCCACATACTTCAAATGCAAGACATACTTCTTGACACATATATAAATAGCATCTAATGTATCTGTTCTTGTACTCACTCTGAGCATTGGAAGTTTCCAGGTCTAATCCGTTCTTGGAGACCGGTCACTTTTCGATGAGAAGGCAGCATCATACCTATTATAACGTCCCCGGGGGCTTCAGCCCCGCAGATGGGCTCAGCAAAGTCACATCCATCCACACTGCTCAGTATCATCAGGGCCGAGAAAAGGCTGCACAGTATCTGCATCTTGAATGGTGCAGGTGAAGAGGCACATCTAGGATGTGTCTCTCACATGGAATCTGGAAGGCACTAAACACAGTGTTCTGCAAACCTGTTTTAAAGCGGAACTGAAAAGAATGTTTTATGTGAGAAATGTTGCCCTGCAGGCATTTCCTTATGTGCATGCTCAAGGAAGTATCAAATAAAAACTTTAATTAACACAATTGTTGGATAGAATAATGAAGACGATCGTTTCTGTGGTTGCTGAAGTAGGGTCAAGGCACTTGGGAGTGGGTGTCTCAGTAAATGAGTGATTGGATCAACCAGTCAAAAAATGCTGGTTGTTTATTTGCACCATATTCTGATAAAAGCAATGTCATTCTCATAACTGTTAGCTTTTTGAACTGGTATGCTCTTTGTTTCATGTGACAGCTCTGCAACAACTGTGTTGGTGTTTATGCCTTCAGCTTGGCTGGGCTCTCTCTTTTTTTACAGTGAAGTCTGAGGGTGGAGTGCCTAGCTTCTATTAGAATAATGAATAATTTGTTGTCAGACCTGAATTAACCATGCCAAAAAATCTGGCAGGACAAGAAAACATGTCAGCAGGGCGGCAGGCATAAGATGCTGGAGCCAGTAACACTGGCAGGCTAAAGACAGCATTCCACAAACTGCTGTGGGACTACTTGCCTTTTTAAACAAATGGATCTTTGTCATTCCCCTTCACTAATGTGATTCTGTTCACTGCAGACACACTGTTGACCCACTTTTGAAACAGGTTGTTTTGGGACTTGCATGTCATTCCAGGTTAGTTGAATGCTATTTCTAAACTCTTAATCAATCCATTCATGCAATCTAAGTCAATCTGTTATTCCTGTTCAGAGTCACAGAGGAGCTAATACAATTTACCATGTTAGCACCCTGATAAACCAAGCTGACAGTCGACCATTGGTCAGTGTCGAGCCGTCAGTGAGCGTCTGCTGCCCTAGTTTTTGCAGCATGTCCTGCATCGTTGGCTCTAGTTATGGTGTGATAACTGAGTGGGCCTACCAGGCACAGGCCTAGGGGCCCAAGGTGTTAGGGGGCTCCCCTGGCCTTTACTTGAAAAATGTCACTCAAATTAATAGGTACAGACCAGGAAGTCACTCGAAAAGACCACAAACAGACACAAAAAGAACACAAAGAGATGCAAAGAGACACAAAATGACCACAAAAATGGGCAAATCAACCACAAACAGACACAAAACAACCACAAGGTGACATAAAATGACTACAAAGTGTCATAAAAAAGCCAAAAAGATGCATAACAGCTACAAAGAGATGCAAAACCACAAAGTTACCTCAGAGATACAAAATTAGCTTTAAGAGACCCAAACAACTACAAAAAAAAAAACAACCACAAAAAGACATAAAATAACAAAAGGCACAAAAAAAGACCACAAAGAGATGCAAAGGAACTGCAAAGACACAAAAAAACCCTACAAAATTGGCAAAGCAGCATAGAAGAGACACAAAATGCCTACAAAGAAACACCAAGCCAATACAAAGAGGCACAAAACAACCACAAGAAGACATAAACTGACCACAAAGCGACATACAAAAATCAAAAAGATTCATGACAGCTACACAAAACGACGCAAAACTACAAAGTTGCCTCAAAGAGACACATTAGCTCTAAGAGACCCAAACAACTACAAAAAAACAGGAAACAACCACAAGTAGACACAAAACAACGACAAAAAGATACAAAATGACCTCAAAAAGACACAAACCGACCACAAAGAGATGCAAAAGAACTGCAAAGAGACACTAAACGGGCAAAGCAGCAAAAAAGAGACACTTACACAACAACAATGTGACACAAAAAGACTACAAAGTGACATAAAATGACCAAAAAGATGTGTAACAGCTGCAAAGAGATGCAAAACCACAACGCTACCTCAAAGAGAAAAAGTGCTTGAGAAGAAAACTGAAAGTGATGAAAGCAAATGAATAGAGGGTGTGACATCAAAACAAACTTGTTAGATAAGATTTTTTTGTTACCATTAGGTAACCATTAGTTACCATTTGTCAACATTAGGTTGTGTTGTCAATATGCTAACTGGCTAACAAGCCCTTTTAATGGTAATGTTTTAATGTTTATGATAAAATGAGTGTGATTACATGAACATGAATAACCTGTTCATAACCAGGTTTTTGGAGTATCCTGCTTATGTGTTTGAGCATGTAAACACCATATTCCATTTGTGAGAAAACTGAATATGCTAGCTGTAGCGCTCTGAAAGAAACCAGGATGTATATGGGGAATATAAATAACCCGGTGTCTGTGCTCATGTAAACACCATATCCCGAATATGATCATAACCAGGATAAGCCTCATAAACTGGTTATTCATGTCCCTGTATATGCACGGAATGATATTTGGTGGCTGTAGCTCAGGAGGTAGAGCAGGTCATCCACTAATCGGAAGATCGGTGGACTCCAAGCAATGAACAGAAAACTGTCTGAACAGTTTTGAAAAAGTGAACTTGATGTAGAGAAATGTAAAAAAAAAAAAAAAAAAAAAAAAAAAGTAAAAAGTAATGGTGGCAGTACACATAGTCTACATCAGACTTTTTCTCCAGTTAGGATCACCTGACCAGCTGACAGTTTGATTGACAGTAGCGCTGGCCTCTCAGGTGGAGTATGGCCGGGACAAGGGCTCCAGCTGGCAGGTCAAATAAAGTTCAACATGGACACCTGACTGCATGATGAAGCTGCAGGAAACTAGATCATTGCTGAGAGACAACAGTGGTCTAAATGTGTTAAATCTACATTTTATTGAGAGCAAAATGTGTTAGTGTTCACTTCAGTTTGTATTCTAGTTTATTTGACTCTATTTATCAGGTTACACATAATACTTGCAATATTTAAATTTATTAAGTGGATGAGTGAAAAAAAGTGATTTAATGGAACCAGTGGTTGGTATAATTTCAGTACCTAGGACTGAAACTAGAGTTACAGTGAATAGCTATGTATTTCAGGAGGTTAATAATGAGCATGAAGAACATTTCTGAAAAACCTTGGACAATGCTGCCCTCTGCTGGCAATTTTAACAACCAAACATGTTGGACATGCACAGGACTTTACACAACTCCAGTGATCTGTGTGAAGATAGGTCTAGCTGGTCAGCAAAGACTTTCAGACAGGAAGCTGGCATGCTATCTGGGCCTGGTTGCTTCCCGACTTTCTGACTCTAGCCCCTTTGACACAGAGATTATGCAGTACTGCTGTAAAGAAGATCCTCCATTACTCCAGCTTTGCTTTGTTACACTGCACCAAACAAAGCTGGAATCTTGCTTCCACAGTGTGTGATTACAAATAGTATGCCAGCATTAAATGAAAATAAACAAATCTTAGATAAGAATTTTAACTACTTATCATATAACTTCGGCAAGGCATTAAAACAAGCTGATATTGTCTTCACAGTGTGGGGAACACCCCCCTTTTTGGAAGAAAGGACACTTTTTAGCCTGGAAAAAGTAGTTTGACGAGAAAATTTTAACTCAAGGTCCACTTACTTTTCCAGAGCTTTCAACTCCTAAAAAAAGACCGTTGTGTTTGAGTGTCCTGCCTCCAACTTTATTATTTCAGACAGATAATTCCGCAAGTCCCTATTCATGGGGCACAGGAACATAAAATGAAATTCATCTTCAATAACACCAAGATCACAAAAAACATATAAAATATTGCTTCTGTATCTGTCCACCTCAGTTACCAGTTGTAAGGTGTCAGTTCTTAACTGAGCACAAAGGGACCTCTGCCCTTTCTAATTACATTTGACGTAAGGGTTCAGTGTAGTAATCCTCTTTGATTTAAACATATGAGCTTTGGCTTATTCCAGATCTTATCCTTCCACCGTTCCTTATGGATCTTCAGTAGTTTATTTATTTATTTACTATATTACACTGCAAATGATTCCTAAAAAATAAAATGTAAATCAGAAAGAGAAAACATTGCAGGGACCTTTATTGACTAAAGGTAATGGTGTGCTCTCTCCCATTTAAAGATCTTTTTGGTCAGCCTTTCCTCTGGCAACTGGACCTGGTGGCTCCAAAACTGAGCTTTTTCACTCCCCTGCTTTAGGACATGGGTAGTGATGGCCTCATGAAGCCTCATGAAGCCATATGTAGTGATGGCCTAATGAAGCCTCATGAAGCCTCATAAAGCCTTTTCTGAGCCCACTAGATGGCGCTTTTTGTTCAACAAAAGGTTGAAAGCACACTGAATTGCTATCCTTTGAGGCTCCCTCTTAAAACCAAGAGCACCATCTAGTGGGCTCAGAAAATAAAGAAAATCCTTCATGAGGCTTCATGAGGCCATCACTAATAAAAACCCTTTTGATTCTTTTGATCTGAGGACTAAAGGAATATGAGTAAATTACAGCGTAATCGAGGAATGGACATATAATTTTAGGTAGCCAACAACACGGTTTTATACATCCAAAGAACTTCTACTAAAAATATATATAATAATAATAATGCTTAACTTAACTTATAACTGCTTGGCAACCAACAAAAAGCACCATCTAGCGGACATCGGTAGTGTAGTGGATAGTGCCGGCGCCCCATGTATAGAGGTGATGCCTTGCTGCAACGGTTGCGAGTTCGACTTCAGCTTGCAACCCTTTGCTGCATGTCGTCCCCCCACTCTCTCTCTCTCTCTCTCCCCCCCATTTCTCACACTGTCCTGTCCATTAAAGGCAAAATGCCCCCAAAAAAATCTTTAAAAAAACAAACAAAAAAAGCGCCATCTAGTGCGCTCAGAAAATAAAGAAAATGTTTCATGAGGCTTTCATGAGGCTTCATCAGGCCATCAATAGACATGGGACCCATCCCACAAGCCCATCCATGGCCCACTTAACAGTATATTTATGCACTCCAAGAAATTACTGTCAGGGACATCTTTAAAACCCCATACTCTTGCATTATAAAATAAAACTGATCTTACCCCTAATTCATAAAGTTTTTGAACTGTTGAGAAACCAAAAA